AGCCACTGATACCATTGTCTAAAACTCTGGACATACAGATTTACAGATTCTTCAACTCTTCAAGGAGTTGCAGCTCAAAAAGGAATCTCATAAAAAGTGGAAATTTGGTACTAAGAAAGAGTATAAGACTGTCACATGGACATGCAGGGAGAAAATTAGGATGACCAAGGCACAATTTGAGATGCAGCTGGCAAGGAACATAAAAAGGAGTCTACAGGTACATCAAGAGGAAAACCATAGATTCCACAGGTTCCTTGTGGAACGTGGAAGGCAATCTGGTCACAGACAATGCAGAGAAGGCTACAGCATTTAATGCCTTTTTACTTCAGTTTTCACAAATAGAGACAACAACCAGCTGAGAAGAGCAGTTGGCAGCAGGGATAGAAAAGGAAACAAACAACCTAGAGCAGTGGTTCCCAACCCGCGTTCCGCATGCAGCCCAGTCAACACACTGCTGCAGCCCATGTGACATCCTGATAAAAAAGTAAAGACATTTGACAATGGAGAAATGAGAGGTATTATAGAATATTGATTGGTATTGCATTACTGTCAGATAACAGATGCAAAACATTTTTAAATGGATGCACAGGAAGTAAGTTGTGTAGGTGCAGTCCACAACACATTGAGAGCTGTAAGTGTGGTCCACTATGGCAAACAGGTTGAGAACCACTGGACTAGACTAATTACAGAATGGGTTAGGAATTACTTAGAGGAGCTAGATGCTGCCAGTTTGGCAGGGCTGGATAAGAAGCACCTGAGGATACTGAAAGAATTGGCTGAGGAAATTTCAGAGCCATTCGGTATGGTATCATTTAACTGGAAGAGCAAATATAGTGCCCATCTTCAAGGAGGAGAATTACAGATGAAGGCTTTCGGCACTGTCTCCCATGACAGTCTCATTAACAAGCTAAGGAAATGCAAACTATGAAAGCACTGTAAGGCAGATACATAACTGGTTGGATAATCACACTCAATGATTAGTACTCACTGGCTTGATATCTAGTTGGGAGAAGGTATCATGTCAGGTTCCCCAGGGTCTGTCCTGGGTCCAGTACTGTTTAAGATACTCATTAATGATTTGAATGATGGGATTGATAATGCATGCTCAGCAAATTCGTGGATAACACCACGTTGGGTAGAATTGCAGACATTCCAAAGGGAAGGGCTCGAATTCAGAATGACCCAGAGATAGATAGGATTGCCCATGGGCAATCAGATGAGATTCCACACGAACCAATGCAAAGTCCTGCACTTGGAACGGAATAACCACATGTAGATACACACTGGGGAATGACTGGCTAGCCTTCAGTACTGCAGAGAAGGATCTGGGGGTTAGAGTGAACCATAAACTGAGTATCAGTCAATAGTGTGTTCTTGTTGCAAAAAAAGGCAACAGCATCCTGGGTTATTTTCATAACAGTCACTTGCAAATCAAAGCAAGTGATTCTTTCACTTTATTCAACACTGATGAGGCCTCACCTGGAAGACTGTATCTAGTTTTGGGCCCTCAAGGTTCTTTGGGTAGATGTGATATCTTTTAGTAGACCAACTAAAAAGTTGGGAAAAAAGTTCTTTGCAAACTTTCAGGCACAAGCCTTTCATCAGGCACAGGCAGATTCTGCTGGTGCTATGTTTTCTCCAAGGTGGAAAAGAAGCTGGTGTCATGTGTTCTCCAACATAGTTTTGGGCCCCACATTGACAGATTAGTAAGAGTCCAGCACAGGACAACAAAAATTATCCAGAAGCCTGGGAGACCAGACTTATGGGGAAAGGTTGAAAGACCTAGGGACATTTAGCATAGAGAAGAGAAGACTGAAGGGGGATTTGATAAGAACCTTCAAATACCTGAAGGTCTATTACAGGGAGGCTAGAGATGGTCTTTTATCTTTGGCTGTACGAGACAAGACTAGGAGCAAGCAGCATATGGGGAAATTGAGATTACGAGGAACTTTGGGACTCTGAGGGTGGTCAAGCATTGGAACAGGTTACCTAGAGAAGCTGAAGAATCTTTATCCTTGGAAACTTTCTAAAGCAGTTTATACAGATGCTAGACATGGATGATTTAATCTGGGATGATCCTGGCTTGAGCAGGGGGCTGGACAAGCTGACTTCCAGCTCTACTTCCCTATGATCCTAAATGTACCCAAAAGCTTGTCTAACATCTCTCCCAACTATACAATTGGTCCAATAAAAGATATTACTAAGAATCCTTGCTAATTCCTTCAGTGTTATTAAAAAATAACAATAGTTCATCTTTGTTGGCTGAAGTTGTATGTGAATCTTTATCTACACATTTGGTTGATTTGAGGAAATTAAATTATCCAAATATCTGCAGCAGGGAACAGAGACATGAAGTCAAATCTGTTGTGGGACTACTGTATCATGAGCAAAATTAGTATAACAGAAATATATGTGTGAGGAGAAATCAAATGAATTAACTGAGCAGTTAACCAAGTGACTTTTACCTTCCCACATTTTCCAACATTGGGAACTCCCCAGATGAACTTTATACCTCCAACAGCATCTACAAAGGTCCTGAATATTGCTTTTCAGCAGAAGGAAGTCTGGGATCCATAACAGACACCTTCCTGAATCTGTGGTCACATAATTTGATACAGCTATCATATCTGTGGTCATATAATTTGATACAGCTGGTTCTACAAATTCCCCGTGTTCTGCTGAAGATGAAAGAAGACAATGCACTAGTTATCCTTGGAAGTCGAGCATAGTCTTACAGATTTTGGTTTGCAGATCTGCTACATCTGTCCAATCACTGTTTCACAACTCTCCTGTAGCAGAGAGACAATCTCATTGAACTGTGGGCTATTTCTGCATTCAGAACCAAAGTTCCTCTACGTGCCTACATGGATGCTATGTGGATGACAGTAGTGAACAGGAACAGCTTTGTGAAATCAAGGAACATTTTGATTCACAGTAGAAAACCTTTGACTGGGCACCCATGACAAAGTGAAAACATTTCTCCTATTGGGTTACCTCTCAAGACTCTGGTCCACTTGAAGCATTGGTCCCAGCTGGTTTGGAGTATCGGGTGTTTTTACAGCATTCAGGATTGCCATTAAGCTCTATTACAATTCACTGAACAGCAATATCAGTTTACCATCAGCCAGTATGAGGCACATCTGTTTCTTCCCATCAAACAGGTCATAAATTTTTAAAAGAAATGTTGCACATGTTCCATTTCTTAAGCAAGATTCCATCATTGTGGAAACTAAATCTGGTATTATATTACTTAACAAAAGTGTTCTTTGAGTCACTAGAGCCTTACATGGCCGATCAATATAAGCTAGGTATCACATTAGTAAAAAAGTGAGAGAGATATAAACTTTCATATCAAATCTTCTTTCTACAGTTTTTCCATGAAGCCATGGTAGCTAGGTGAGATCAACCTAAATTTATCCTATAAGTGGTATCAGATTTTCATATCGCTCAGAATGTGCTTTTACTGATACCTTTTCCCAGATCGCATGTATGTGGGGTGAGTTAAGAGAAATGCTAAAAGAGTAAACTTATATTGCCTTAATAGAATGAAATCCTTTTACAAGTCATTCAAAATTTTTCTGGCACTTGGTAACAGATCCAAAAAATTCAATATACATTGCCAGTTGTTTAAGGACAACATGCAACTTTAATTAGGCAATTCTTTCAACTACTATTTGAGCTCATTAGACAAGAGTGCAAGCCATGTCACCAGAGTACTTTATTTGAAGTCCCCATAGCTGAAATATACAGAGCAGCTACACAGAGCTCAGTTAATACATTTACTGTCCCCTCCTCTCTAGTTATAGCACTGAGATCAGACAAAGAGATGGAAAGCAGTTCTTTAATCTTTATTCAGATGAAGCTCTACTTCAACCGCCATGAAGGGCAAACAGCTATATAACTAGCACAAGCAAGATCCACAAGCCCAGGACTGAAAGAAGAAAAGGATAGTTCCTTACATTTATTGTAACCATAGTTCTTCAAATTGTTCTGTATATGTAGATCCTATGACCTGCTCTTCTGTCCCACAACTTGTCATCTGAATTCTGGGTGGAGAAGGAAGTGAGCAGCAGTTGGAATCACTAGGCCCTTTATGACCTTGGATTTGGGGGAAAACATGACAGCATACAGAGCCATGTGTGAGCCTTCATCAACACTTGTAGATAAAAACACTCCAAACTTGTATTCAGAAGGTAAATGCAAATTGTGAGTGGGATCCAGGTGCATAGATTATCACACAAAGAAGTGTAGTTACTGTAAAGGTAAGTAACCATTTTTCACCACCAAATTACCCAGTTAATTCAGTTGAACCCGTTATCGGGTGATAAAAGTAAAGTAAAGTAAGGTGAGTTGTATGCACAGTTCCTTGGCACTGCAAATACAGTACAGAAAAGATCACTTAACTTCCAAATGCAAAGTTGCCAGAAATGCGAAGAAGGGATCTCAGAATAATGTCTCACCCAAAGACAGTTATGTCTAACAGTTCAGAATTCATTAGTACTGAACAGCAAAGTCAATGTGGGGCACATCCTAACTCCTACGGTAAAGCTTGAACACTTGATAGTCTGACACAGAAAACAGTCAAAGATGCAAACAAGAATATTGCAGAGTCTCTAAAAAAACTCAACAGATAAATGCCCTCAAAAACAGTTTTACTTCTCAGTAAATTAGAGACTACATTGTCATCTTTTTATCACCTATTCACCAATACTGATTGGTGAAAACACATTAGTCATTAAATGTCTGACAGCTCAGAGCCTTCAAACACCCACTGAACTGTATAATTCTTAGACGTAGAATCAGAGTTTTAAAGAAATAAAATTGTTTTTAAAAAATGTTTTTGCTTCAAAGAGACCAAATTGGGCTAACAGAAATATTATTTTCCAATTATTGCCTTCCCTTGCCAAAAAAAATCCCATTACCTATCCACATTCCCCACCCTCCTGAATGACATTATAAAATGTTCTGGGGGGAAAAAGAAAGAATAAGAGATTCATTACCTTACAGTTCCTGATATCCCATGCTTTAACTTCTGGGCCAAACCCCCCACAAATAAAAATATTAGGATCACTAGGGTGAAACTTCAGTGTGCTGATTCGAGATTCATTTTTGCTGGTAAACACCTGTGCCCCTATAATCAAAAAAAGAAAGGAGAGGGAAGTAGGAGTTAAAATTTGAACATGAATAGAAGATGGACTATTTCGCTTTCATATTTTTATACAGCAAAACAAAAAACAAAAAACCCTCCAGTTTGCAAAAGCAAATAGATAAATATGAGCATATTCATAAGTTAAAACATGTGGGATTGTTGTGCCTTAATGAAAAATAATCTAATTGACTTAATTCCATTTACATGGAATTCATCCTACTCCTGTCCTCGTATGCCGCTTACTAGCAATGCCCCTGCACAGGGAGATTATGATGTCACCCATGTGCTCTGGGTAGGTGCTCTACAAAGGTCCAATTAGACTCATAGGTAGGGGTCAGTTACGCAGGTTCATTGGAAGGGTACCTCTCTCCAGAGAAGCCACAGTCATTCTGATGCATATAAGCCAAACCAGTAGCTAGAGAAAAGGCTGGCGTAATGGCATCCTGGCAAAAGGCCCATCAGTGGCAGATCTTGCAATTCCAGGTCCCAAGCCCCACTTACTCACTTCAGGTTATTTACCTGAATGTCACAACGGAGGGGCAAACTTCACTCTGAAGGCAGGATGCAATTTGAACAGCCTCGCACTAAGGCAATAACTGTTCCCATGGATACGCTGTTGTCTAAATTTAATTGTGTATGGTAATCTTCACAGGATCCTGTGGCTTAATACTAATTGGCTTGTAAACAACACTTCTAAAGTCATAGAAAATTCAGCCAGACTAATTTGCAGGTTCTATCTCCAGTTCATAGCTGTTATCAAATGAAAGTTGTTAATGTCACATTTTGAAATAGTACTATGCACTGAGGTACATTAATTCAAGTTCTCATATTTGTCATTGCAATTTATATTCCACTGAATTGTGTGCAATACCTGCATTAAAAAAAATGTAATGACCATATACATACAGGATATATTATGTAGCATGCACCAAATACAACAAGGACTACTACAGACTTTAAAATAAGATTATAAAAACATGCATCACTCCACACATAAAGCAAATGATGGCCTTCCAAACCAACAACTGGCAACCTTTAACAAGCCACAGACAAGAACAACCAAGCTCCAGTCCAACATGGGTTGAGTGGCCTCAGTAGCAGAGGGCTTTCCCTGCACTCACACTAGGGCCAGACAGCTGGGATCTGCACCTGTGCCACCATCGCTTCTACCAGCCAGTGAGGAGCTGTACCAGGACCGGGCAGCTACAGACTGCATCCACGCAACTTCTCTCCTTTTCCCTCCCACTCTTCTGCCTCCCGGCTGTACCACAGGCACAGCTGTAAGCAACCCAGCCCTGGCACAGTCCCCCACCAGCTGGAACCTGCCCCCATGCCACACTTGGGGGGAGGAAGGGAGGGAACAGTAGCAGCACAGGTACAGCTGGAAACTGCCAGGCCCTGGCCCACCTCTTTGTTTCCTAGTCTCAGTGTGAGTGTGGGCATGGGCACGGGCACAGGTAAAGGCAAAGTCCTCCAGCTGTGCAGATCACAACCAGTTGCTCCCTGGGCCATAAGTTGCAGATCCCTGTTTTAGACCAATTTTAACACAAAATAACCCGACTCACAGTAACTCATGATGTGAACAGCTGGTACAAGGTTCAAAGGAAAACCTAACATACTTGATGTCACTTTCTTGAATTCAGAGACAATTCGGTTGGTTCTGATACAGGCAGTGGTTGTGGTTCCTTAAATTGGGTGAGTCGATTTGACATGGTCAGGATGCCCTACAGACGTTGTTCTGGGTGACTCTAGTGTGTTCTCTCTCTCTCTCAGCAAAAACAGAAACAAAACCAAATCCTGTGCTGCTTCCAGTGCCACATGAGCTAATGGTTACATATTTTGGTCCTACTGATAATCCAGGAAAGTTTTTAAGCAAAGCAAAGTTTGTTTACTAATGAGTTTTACTGGACCCACTATACAGTTGGGAGAAATATCAGACAAATTGCAGAAACAATAGGCCTTTCCTTAGGTCTGGGAAGGAGACAGATATAGCTTAAGTTGTTCCCATCTGCCTGGGAACAACCTCTTTGTATTCCACAGGTGCTAACTGCCTTCTCTGTTTTGGATGGTCTTATTTTTTCCGTAATTCAGTTTATCTATTTCAACTGCCTTTTACTTGCTTTGTCACTACTTCTTATAACTTTTCCTTCCTCCACAGGTTACTGTCCTCCTCCCTTTCTGTAAAGGACTATTTTCATTTACATAATGAAGTTACACAAAAGATGTTTCACGGCATTTAGCTTAGGCTCCACCTGCTTCTTTCCCAACCCCGAGGAGGGCACTTTGTGCCTGAGAGCTTGTCTAAACACCTCTCCCAACTATACAGTTGGTCCAGTAAAAGGTATTACCAAACAAACCTCATTTCTCCCATCTTCCCAGAATTATTAGAGCTATGACAACACTACAGATCTACAACAAGTTTTAAAGGCCTTGAAAATACCAAAAGGAGAGAAGTCCCCTTCAACAAAAATTGCAGAAAAAGAATAAAAGGTTCACAGACTAGCAGGCCATCCTTACAAAGTCACACACTCCATCGAACAGCTATCTGCCTGGATGGCTACAACTTTCTTATGGACTGGATAAGAAAGAGAAGAGAGACTCCTAAGCAAAGAGGATGGTTCTAGGATCAAAACCAAGAGACAGCTCTTATCCAAGGTACTCCCTGCCCCACTCAGCAGAAAGATCTGGCAGCTGCTTTGGGAATGCAGAACTGATACAAAACTTACTATTAGAGGCACAAACATATGACCTACAATTCCTGCCAATTCCATCCCACACAAATCAGGTGCTATATATATATATATATATATA